GAGAGAAGCGCCTTTCTTTACGCTTTTTTACGCTTCTTTACGCTTTTTTCCCTTCTCGACAAGACCACACAGAGAGCTTTCGTCAAGCCCGGCCTCTGGTCGGGCGGCAGCCATCACAATAAATTGCCTCTCTCCTTTCCTGATCTCCTGGAAGTATCGCGAATTCTTCTTCCGCATGTACTCCAGAATCGTTGGGATGGTGGGCATAGAGTGCTGCTTCTGACCAGGTGGATTTACAGTGAAGCTCTTTCCTTCAAGCATGATTGGAGGCGCCCTGCAGGGCCTGGACATTGCCATATAGCTGTCAGCTGCATTGAGGGTGTATTTAGGCTCACAAGTGGCGTGCTCAAACTCTGGCAGTGGCGCACTCCATGTCGCACACGCCTGCTCGATCGCCTTGACTACAGCACTGTGCGTTCCCATATCGGGATCTATGTGTCGCATGTCTTTCTTGGCCATCGAATTGAACTGCTCCGCTGTTTGCTGTGATGGAACGTGTCCTTCATGGCATCCTGATCCAAGGCCACAGTACCAGCACGCTGTCCACTGGCCAAACGCACCAACTCCTTTCTCCATGTACTCACTGAAGAAGTATTCTGTCCATTCTTGTTCTCCGTGGACCGTAGCAAGACGATTTCGTACAGCCTTTCGACGGCTTCTTCTTGGATATTTGGGCGTAAAAAAAAGTCAAGAAAGGTGCACAGAAGCGGCTAAAAAAAAAAACAGGCACAAAACGTAAAGCAAGATGCGCAGAAGCGTTCTCTTTGTGGTCCTCATGAAAAGCGTCTCTCTCTGTGGTCCTCTACCACTCATTTGTGTTTAACACAAAGCAGCCTCCCAACAGATGGAAAATCGACACAAACCAGCCGGCCTCCCAACAGATGGAAAATATTTGCGTGGTCCAAGCGAACATGAGATTGTAGATGAGCTGCACAATATATGCAACAGGGATCTTGTGCAAGTGTGGAACACGGGCCCGCTTCTTCGGCGCCCCGACGATGCGCTCCACATCTGCAGCCTCTGCGCAGCCATCCTTTGCAGCTTGGTTGTTGCCTGGCCGGTGTCAGTGCGCGCTTTACGAAACGGACACAAGAACCACCCGTGAAAGCATGGAACGCTCAACCGCACACTGGCCTCTGCGGTTGTTGCGAGTGATAGCACGGGTCATATGCTCAGCTCCACACACAAAGCGACTCTTCTGTCCCATCACAGTCTGCCATGGTGCGCGGAGACAACCTCCTCCAAACCAATCTGCATGTAGACTGCTGGGCAGTGGGATACCTCTTCTGACAAGCTCTGCGCGAAGACACACAAACGCATGGCTGTAGATGTCCTTGGCCTCCTGCGGCGCGCAGCACGCCACCAGAGGCAACGCACCCTTCAGCCAGTTGTTGCCGAGAAGCTTGAAGCAAATAGCGCAAATGAATCCGTACTGAAAGTCCATGTGGCACACCCTGGTGGTCCAGTCTGTCGTGGCTGCCCAATGCACAAAGCCGTGCTTCTTGTGCAAGTCCTCCAGGCGGTCTAGGAAAGGAACCAGAAATGCGATCCAGCTGAATGTCGCTGCACCCAAAGACACTGAAGCAAATTGCACGTGATGGGATCGATCCCTGCGAAGCGCTGCAAACTCCTCGAACTGCTCTGCGCTCTCTCTGAAACGCTGGGTGCTGGTCCCCAAAGTTTTCCTCCGCTGCCTGACCATGCTGCGAAGAGTGGCTGGATTGATCCGAGTCGACTGAGTAGAGATCTTGAGGGCAACGGCTTTGGCCGTGATTGGACACCCTCTTGTCGCCAGGTTGTCCATGGCCTCTCTGGCAGCCTCACGCTCCTCAACGGTTGGCCCGGCTGCTTCTTCCTTGCTTTTTCGACCTTTCCGCGCCAGTCGCGGCACACCACTGCAGTCTCTGGCACTGGAGATTTCCAGCTTCAGCCCGTTTTTCTCGGATATCAACCGAAACCGGTACCGCTTCTCACACGCTTCGCACTTCCGGCACCTTGCCACTGTCTCAAGCCCAGCCGCAGTCTCCCTGGCTGAACGGAAATCTCTAAGCAAGACAGGCGGCTGCTGTCGTCTAGCCCACGCTCTTGCAGCCCGTTTCAGCTCTTCGTCTATGCGACCTGACGGTTCCAAGCAAAACGTCTCAAGGACCTTGTAGGAAAGCGAAGCACGTTGCATCAGTTGCATCACGCCACCCGAGCTTGAGCAAAAAATGGTGGTGGAACATTGGATTAATGAGCGAGCGCCTGGCGGCATAGCTTCTTTGAACGAGGGTCGAACAGAACGAAGGCTTGCGCTGAAAGCTTCAGCACCTGCCATCGGACACAACGCCGACGGTCAGAATAAGACTCTGCGCGATCAGAATAAGAAGGACGGGCCTCAGATGGGCGACGGGCTGCACTCAAAATCGAAGACCTGAAGCTGAGCAGCGGAGAGTCCGCCACAAACATAGGACTCAGCTAGGCGAGAGAGAAGTTACACTGCTAAGTTCCGGAAACAGGCTCCGCAACCAATGACAGGTTTCGAAGAAGGTTTGGACTAACAGTCAGCAAATAAATGACTGCCGACCTTGAGGCTCCGCTCCCAAAGTCTAACCCGCCTGCACGCGTCACAGGTCAAGCAGACTACCATGGCACAGCACAAATGTACCACAAGTGCACCGCCAATGAGACTAGACTACCATGGCCCAGCACAAATCTAGCAGGCGCACCAGCAATCAGACTAGACTACTATGGCAGCGGCAGGCGCTTTATCGCTATTATCGGTGTCAGTCACAGTGTGCGCACATAAGACTATGCATTACACCTTCATTGCCTCAGGCTTCTTTGTTTTTCTACCTTTTCCCTCTCTGTCAACACGGCTCCGCCTCTTGCTTCACAGCCGTGCCCAAAGGTGCGGCATCCTGCAGGTGATTGGAACGGATCTCACGCTGGAAGATACTTGTGTTGCACAACCTTGATTAATGAGGCCACCTCGTCGCAATGAGGCTCACCCAACGCTCCTGGTCTGGCGCACGTTAGCAGTGGTAGTCCTTGACAAAACCATAGCAAGTCAAGCCGAGGCACGTGTGAGCATTCTCAAACTGTTCCTCGATGGCCCGCTTGCAGCATCCTTGAAAGCAGAAAAAAGTAAGATGTACAGCTCATTCTGACCACACAACAACGCAATGGACTTTCAAGTGAGCCGCGGACAGTCAATGGCTCTCCGCCCAAAACCTTCCAAAGAGCAGCGGCCAGCTCGTTGCCAACGTTGGATTTGGCATACCGAAATACGATCGAGGAAGTATCCTGAAACCTTCCAAGCGCACCCAACCTGACAGTGCATCTCACTGCGACCAAGCACTTGAAACTAAAGTTTACGAAAGGCACAGAAGCGTCTCTACGATTGGTTCCCTCTATCAAGCCTAGCAGCGGTTTGTTCCAATCTTCAGCGTATCGCAGAACCAAAATTCGGCTCCCCACATGGATTTTCAGCATATCAGGCTCCACACGCCCATGCTGTCTCACATAGGTTGCCTCCCACGCAAACACCGCTCAAATTCTCTGTCGACGTTGTCTCCTTTACCTTGTGATTTCTGCGGCTCTTGACATAGACCAGTGGACAAGGGAAAAAAGCGTAAAAAAGCGTAAAGAAAGGAGTGCAGAAGCGTCTCTCCCTGTGATCTTGTGGAAAAGGGAAAAAAAGCGTAAAAAAGCGTTAAAAATCGTAAAGAAAGGCGTGCAGCAGGCTCCTCCCTGTGATCCTGTGGAAAAGGAAAAAAAGGCGTTAAGAAAACGTAAAGAAAGGCGTGCAGCACCGTCTCTCCCTCTCATGGCGTGCGAAAGGAAAGAACGTAAAAAAGCGTAAAAAAAACGCGTAAGCAAGCGTAAAGAAAGGACTGCAGAAGCGTCTCTCCCTGTGATCCTGTG